TGGAGGCGCGAGGGGCTGCGCCCCGTCCTGCTTCCACCTGAACGTCTGTCCGCAGCCGCCTCCCAGAGCAGCCGGGTCCCAGAGGCCTGCGCTTGGCAGAGATAGCTAGCCCCACTCCTCTGCCCCGGCAGGCAGCCCGGCCCAGCCAACGTTGTGGGCAGGGATTTGAACAGTACCAGCTGCCTCTTTTTAACTTGTGGTGCTACCTCCTGTCCTGGCTGCTTGCTTCCCTCTTTGCTCAGCGCTGTCTCGGCTTGGCGTTGTGAGCCCTGGGTTTGCTTGTGAAAGGAAAAGCTGCCCACTGAGGGCAGGTGTGGCTTTAGAGGAGGTTCAGACTGCCTGCACAACATGCTCTTGATGGCCTGGAGGTTGAGAAATGTTGAATTAAGAACCAAAGAAAATGCAACAAAATCATAGAAAATAAGGGCTGCAAGGGACCTCGAAAGATCATTGAGTCCAACCCCCTGCTTTGGGCAGGAAAGAGGCTGCTGAGATCAAAAGATCCCAGCAAGGTGTCTGTCCAGTCTCCTCAAAGACTGCCAAGGCTTTTTTAATCGGATTTTTTTTTCCTTTCTTTCTCTCACCTTTTTATTTTTTTGGTTTAAGATACAGAGACATTGTGGAAACCCAGCAGCATTATAAGACTAGATGGCGGTCCATTTGGGTGATGTACATAACCATGTTTCTCAGTAGCATAGGTGAGTAAACCTGACATTCATACACCAGAATTTCCAGATTATGACTGGTTTAATTTGAGAAATCCAAGCGGTCAAGGCTTTAAAACTGAATCCACCTGTTCTTCTTTCATATGACTAATTTGTTGGCTAGAGAAGATAAAGCCGATGAATTAAAAAGGAGGGTACCTCTTGTGGGGTTAATCTGCAAAATATCTTCCATCTTGTTTTCTGAGTAATAGGTTGCAAAATGGTTGAGAGAAAATTGAGAGGCAATAACATGGCACCTGAGTCATGCTTCCAGCTGGAAAAACGGAGCAGTCTTCAGTGGTTTTCAAACTTCCTTAAGCCATAGAACCCTTTCGTGCTTGTTGGTTGTAGCCCTGTTGGTCTAAGGACATAGGCAGGCAAGGTTCTTTGGGCAGATGTGGTATCTTCTAGTAGACCAGCTGAATAGTTGGAAAAATTGTTCTTTCATAGATAGAAGCACCCTTCTTCAGGCATAAGGAGAGTCTGCTGATGTTTTGTGTGCTCTCCTGGGTAGAATAAAAGCTAAAATGCAGGTCTGTGAAAATACAAATGTGTGGCAGTGAGAATCGGAGGGAATGGGGGACAGTAGGTACGAGACAGGTAGGTACGGAGGAGTGGGGAGATTGAGCTGGTGATAGAATGTAGCTGGCAAAATGCAGAGGGGTACCTGGGGTTATCAGATGGCAGGTTATAATGTGCCATAAATCCAATGTCTATATCTAGTCCATGATTTTTTGTATCCAGTAGATTTATGAAGAGAAGTTCATAGGCTCATCTATGAAAGGTGTTTTGTAAATTCCCTTTGAGGATTAGAACTGAGAGACTGGAGAGAGTGATTGTCTTGTGAGAAGTGTACACCCACAGGTAATTGGGTATTTTTCTTTGATAGATTTCCAGTGTGCATTCATTCTGGTGTGCAGGTGTTGTTTGGTTTCTCCTACATATTTTCCATCAGGGCATTTAGTGAACTGGATGAGAGAGATTACATTTCTGGAGATGCAGGTGTAAGATCCAGGAATAGTGATGGTTCTGCTGCGGGGTGTAGTTATTGTGGGACTGGTGGAGGTGTTTTGGCAGGTGTTACATTTTTTGTTCCATCGTGGTCTGAATCCATTCAGTATGCTTTGGGCCAGAAGCTTGCTTCTGGTGATGAGGTTGGTGAGGTTTGGTGCTTGTTTAAAGGCCAGGATGGGTGGTTTCACAGACCTGCATTTTGCATATTGGCTTCTGTTCTACCCAGGAGAGCATACAAAACACCAGCAGACTCTCCCTATGCCTGAAGAAGGGTGTTTGTGACCAAAAGCTTGCAAAGAACAATTTTTTCCAACTATTTAGTTGGTCTAATGAAAGAGATCATGTCTACCCAGAGAACCTTGTCTGCCTAGAACCCTTTCATATCACTTCTACCGTGCAACCTTACCCCTGGTTCACTGCCCACAGAGCCAGGTGACCCAGCCTGACATGAGAAGCATGCTGCCTTGCAGCGCACTCTACCAATACTCCCGATCTCTTTGTGGAGCCCCTAATGCTGTATCACACAATCCCAGGTTTCCACAGACCCCAGCTTGAAAACTGCCACGCTAGGTGCTCATATTTATTCAGAATTGAGGTGAGGCATACTTCCAACTTGATGCCAAAGCTAAGGTTACTATATAACATACAAAGTGAAATCATTGAATATTAACCATGACAGTATTTAAGAATGAGCATTTTTTATGCTGTTGGCATTCTGTATTTTGAAATATTTTTACCTACTAATGTTTACTTGTTGGGAACTGCAATATTTTTTACTCAATATAGTAAAATTATATTTAACTGCAGAATAGTTTCATATTTCAGGCCCATATTCTTTTCAGCTTTTAATTTAACTGCTTTTGTGGTATCTCACTTTTCTGTTGGTTAACAATGATATTGGGGTGGCTTTAGGATTTGATGAGGTAAACACAAATGAAAATGTAAAAGTACTGTTTGATATCAATAAAATCCTTTTTTGTGAGGGGAAATGACCTTATTCTCATGTAGGGCAAACTTGCATTGAGTTAGTTCAGTCAGAGCATCATTATAGTCTAGGTGTTTGGCGTATAAAAATGTTTCATACACGCATACTGCAGTGTCTTTTTTTGGGTTTTTTTAAAGTTCTTTAAGAGTTTTCTCAGTGAGAAAAATTACTGTTCTTTCTTCCAGGGCAGGGCATGTATAGTACTTTTTATTGCTACTTGGAACTTCAGCTTGAGGGTATAGCATTTTTAAATAGAAGAATTAGCTTGTGGTATCTGTTTTTAAAATATTTGATTCAATATATAGATGTATATGTATATAAAATGGAGTAATGTAAAATAAAGTAATTCCAGTTCTCTCTTCTTTTTAATGCATCACAGGTTTTTCAATTGTAATTATGTCAATATGGCCATATCTCCAAAAGGTTTGTAAATCCTAATGATGAATTATTATAATCTGTATTATAATTAAGTACAATAGAAGTTTTGTTCTGATATATGGGATCATTACTGCTGAAGTCTAATTCTTCAACAAGATTCTGCTCAGATCTCCACTGATGGGTTGAAGGCTTATTTAGGAAATAGGAAACTCCTAAATAGAAGTATTCCTGTTGTTATGTTAATTCCACAAACACTAAAGCTGTCTTATTTAAACTGAAATATGTTATTGAATCTGTTTGGGCCTGTTGCACACTTTCAAAATAGCAACATAGTTTCTAAAATTGTGATCAATGACCATCCTCAGCACAAATTTGCATTACCACATAAGAATTTGTACAAAGTGTTAATATTTTTATTTTTTTACTCTGAACTAGATTGTTTGATGTACCCTATTTTCTAAAACGTGGTACAAGTAATATGTAATATACAGTATATTAGCTTGTATTCTTTAACGGTATTGGAATAAAATTGTGGATCTGGGCAGAGGCCCTGTTACTTGCAAATGGAATTGACAAAATGTCCAGAAATTCCAATCAGGATTATATTATATTCCCATTGTACTATATGCAGAATAGACAAAAAGGAGACGCGATCCTTTCTTGGGGAGTATACAATGGAAATAAAGCTAACAATAAATCAAAACAGTTTTGATTTATTGTTAGAAAGTAGTTATGAAAGGCTAAACTGAAAATTCCCTTTCCCAGTCTTCTTTGACAGCTTCTTTAACATTCCATATAAACTGGTTGCTTGGTTTACTAAATCAATAGAGGCTTAGGTTATTAATCCTAAAAGATTAGGTTCCCCAGTCTTTTTTATTGTTCCTAGTTGTTGTATTATGCCATGATCACTACATTAAGGAAATGTAATGTGTAATAAGTGATGGTATGTGTAATTATATTCTTACGTATAAGCATGCACTAAGCTTATGGAAATTCATGGTTTAAGTAGAGAGGGGGAAAGAAGGAAGAAAGGAAAGAGATGGAGAGTTAAAAGTGCTAATGTCAAGGTAGAAGGCTGACATAAGAGAAGAGGGAAACAACAGCATACCTCCCCCTAGAAGAGACTATGAGTAAATAAAAAAGTTGAAATTGTGTGTTTTGGGAAAAATAAGATAGGCATATATGGAAGTTTCAGTTTCTGGAAATAAACACCTCAGAAGAAGATGTAACATGAAATCTAGGGGGATAAAATGGAACCAGAGATTTACTTGTATATGGGCAGTCAAATTCAGCAGTGAACAGTAAGTTCATAGAAAATTGTGGCCCTAAGATTATTTGTTTTTCTCTGAAATTCTTTTAGCAGTACTGGAAATAAAATGCACAGAATACTATTTATTAGTATGTTGGACAGGTTGCTATAACTTAAAAAAATGTTCAGAGTTTAAAGATTAAAAAAAACCCTATGAAAATATCCAGGATTATTACACTAGAGCTAATGTTTGCACTCATGGGCTGCGTCCAAATGAGCGTGGCCATACGATATGTGGCACATGTCTGTGGTGGCACATACTACACATTCAGCTGTTTTCCACACTGCAAGGTAGCAGCATGGGGTAGGGGGTTGACCCCAGGATATCCAGGGGCCAAAAAAATAAGAGCGACGCATGCTGGGGCAGCACACACTACTCAAAACCAGATCCTGGCTGGCCAGACTCTGAGCCACAGGATCGCCACTGCAGCCCCAGGAGCCCCCCAGGATCCCAAGTAAGGCTGCTGGGGCCAGCCCAGTGCTGGTTACCCCGCTCAGCGTTACCTGCTATGCACCATAGGGAGTGTGACAGAGGTGTTCCCTGAGGACAACTAGCAGTGGTGCACGATATGCTCCCAATTCTTCTCCCCATGGAAACAAATGTCCACACTTGTGTGGACACAGCCATGAAGGTGATTCTCACTTGTTTCAGCCCAGTTTTAAAAAAGCTGTAGTAGCCTCTAGATACACAGGTTTTGGGTAGGATCCATATGGTCTAGGAAGAATAGATGATTCTTGTTAGTCTCTTCTGTAGACTACCTTGCAGGCCTGAGCAAAGATGAGTATGTTAAGGTAGAGGTAAAGTTAGGAGAAACCTATTGGGCTTAGGGCAGCCTGAAGATATGGCTGTCATTGCTTCAGCCTCTCTCCAACCTTGGAGCAGACCAGAATCTGCAGAGTCAGCTGTTATTTCTACGCAGTGGGCGTGTCTACACATAGCCATTCAGCAATCTTACTGCACTGTGCTTTAGTACTTGCTTTTGGAAGTACTAAAACAGCACAGTAACTGCCCATACTATGCCATACAGGCGGTGCATGCTTAAATTTCCCCACTACATTGCCATAGTGGTATACTATAAGCAGGGAGCATGCTGCTATAGCAACATAGCTAGCATTTACATGTAGACCAGTGTGATCGCCATACTGCAACATAGCTAGTGATCACATGTAGACACGTGTGGTCGCTATAGTGTGCCATACGGTGATGTAGCATATCGCTATGTTGCCATAGGGTAACATGCAGACGTGCCCAGTGTCTAGAGACATAGAATTTTATTTATTGTGGGGTGCTGATTCCAAAATTGTTTTTGTTGGTAATACAAATGTCATACTGTATTTCTTAAAATCACTTTATTGTTTCTGCAGATTGATCTGACAGCAGATGCAAGTTTCTTGGGCTGGGTTATTGCATCATACAGCATTGGTCAAATGGTAGCCTCTCCCCTGTTTGGTTTATGGTCCAATTACAGACCAAAAAGAGAACCTCTCGTTGTTTCATCTGCTATTTCAGTAGCTGCTAACTGCCTTTATGCCTATGTCCATGTACCTGCTTCACACAACAAATTCTACATGCTAGTTGCTCGTGCCCTCGTGGGATTTGGAGCAGGTAATTAATTACAGTGCAACTTGAACTTTTGAAGATGGCTTTTTTTGTCTTGCTTAAGAGAGCACGTGGTTTATAATTAACTACATGTTTATTAGGCAATTAATATGACAACGTAAGGAGTTGGCTAGCCCTGTGCAAAGGCTTGCAAATTAAACACTTTCTTGTGTTGGGGAAAGCAGTGAGTACCTTGAGCAAACTGGTTGTTTGGTACATAAGAAAGAAAAATTGAACAGCTTGTGACTGGAGAATAATTTCTTTGCACTTATGTAAATAATTTTTATCTTTTTTAGGTAACGTAGCAGTAGTTCGATCATACATTGCCAGTGCTACTTCTCTTACAGAAAGAACTAGTGCTATGGCCAACACTAGTGCTTGCCAAGCTTTAGGCTTCATACTAGGACCAGGTATAGTGTGTCTTATTTCTTTACGCTTCTCAAACAAATCCCATTCCTTTGCCGTCTTGGAGAAAAATGTACATTGTGATTGGGAATTTCAACACTAGCATTGTGAACAAAACTTTGGATTTGTTAGCATAGTATGTTGGGGTATCCATAAGTTATGTTGTAGATGTCTAAACAAAATATCTCTCTTCCCACCACCAACCCCTACAAAAACACAACTATGTAAGTCATATTTAAATGTTTCAAGTATTACTCTGTTCATTACATTTTTGGTGGCAGTTTACTAAGGGCTCCTAAACTTATGTAGCAAATCTGGGCCATAGTTTTGTGACTAATTGGTTGACAAAAACATTTCCAAAATGCCTGATTGGGCTAGGAGCCACTAAAGACTCTACAACTGGCTACAAGTTATTTAGGGAGAGTAGTTTGACATGTTCATGCAGCCCTGACTCCATTCTAGCGATAGCTACAGATTGCCCCTTGATTAGCCAGATTCCCCCAAACATTGGAAATGGCATTATAGAACACATGTAGCACATTCCTGGTAATTCCTTGCTGGAGGGTCTTCTCTGGATGGTTGTCTGGTTCTGAAGTCAACTTTGGAAAAATCATTAAAGGGGACATACAGGCAAGGAGGGTATCTCCCAGTATGACTTGCATATAAAAAATGTGGATTTCTGGCACATGCTTCTGCATTTTGGTAGGAAAACTTGATGTACTTCCCGGCAGTTACAGGCAAAGGGTAGCACTACAGAAATATACAAACACACTTTCATTTATTACCTGTTTTTTTCTTTTTTTGGGGTGGGGTTGGGGGACAGAAGGGAAGAGTTAATATAGTTGTTTCTCTTTTTCTGGTGTCTAGCAAAAGGGATGTTTTGAGTTGTAGAGCTAAAGCTTTCCAAAACAGGGAGACTAAGTAGTGATAACCAAGACGATTCATGGGTAATGAATTCTGCAAATAAATTCTGAATATGGTGGTAGTTAATTTTCCTGTCTTGGTCTTGTGCACTTGTTTGACTGGTTTTGAGCATTATACTGCTGGGTATCCAGTATTTTCACATGGCTTTCCAGAGATTACGTACTGCAACGCTACATATGCTTCCAGTAAGTTGGGATGCCATTGGTTTGAGTTGGATATTCCTAGAATGATAAAACATTGATTATGTTAATATTTCCTGTTTATTCTGTCAAATGCTGTTCTATTGATCTCCTTTCAAATGTTTTTATGTTAAGTTTTTCAGACCTGCTTTACTCTTATGGGAGAAAAAGGAGTAACGTGGAAAATTATTCATCTCCAGCTGAACATGTATACAGCACCAGTTCTGTTGGGAGCTCTCCTTGGGGTTATTAATATTATTTTAATCTTTGCCGTATTCAGGTAATCAGATAAAAAAGAAAGTATTCTTGTTTGAGGATTGTCAATGGCTTGTGAAATATTTCTGCTTATAATGGAAGATTCTATTCAGTATTTAGCACAAATAAATCCACTGCAATTTTAGAGTACAAGACAGGACTTTCAAACTTAGCAATAGTGTGACTAGTAGTGACAACCTGCAGTACGTATCAAGCTTAATGTTTTTAGTTTATTTTTCAAACTTTCTAGCTTCTGTGGTGTAAAAGGCAATCACATTTTGCTAAACAAAACTTAGTGTTAATAAACTGTTGAAAGTTAAAAAATTATTGTTAGTGTCATCAGCTTAGACTTGATGCATGTAATATTTGCATGTAGGTTACTGTCTAACTCGCATTATATTTTGTAGCTGCTAGGCATCGAAGATGCTATGTTTGTGTGCATCTGTCTCTAAGAACGAGAACTTCTTCAAGCAGGAGTCTCTTCATTTTTATGTATTGTCATTACAATGAACAGATCATTTAAACTACAGTTTATGTTCTGCAACCATAAACACTTTTTCCATTTCCAAAGGTGAAGTTCACCCAATCACATTGTCCTTTATGGCAGTCTGTTTTATGTGTTCCTAATATGGAAATAATTCTTTATTAGGCGTAGGAAACTCCAGTGCTACAAATGTTTTTCTGAATGGAGACAGTAAACAAGAGAGTCTGTTCTAAAAGTGAGTTCAGATCTGTGATCCTCAAACAGGGTGCCAAAGCACAATTCACAAGGTAAACCTAGATATTTCAAGTAGGAATCTGTAGTGCCAAAAGCTTTCTGATTCATTGTGGTCTTACTGACTCCTCTTTAAAAGCAGAAATGTCACTTTTCTGTAGTGGAAAAAAAGGGATGAAAGCTAAGACCTGGCATTTTTGTAGTGGTGCTTTGAGTCTAAAAAGGTTGAAACTCACTGGTCTAGACGATTGATGTCAGTTACTTTGGGAAGAACTTTAAAAGAGCAGTGTGGCCTGATGTACCAGTTAGTGGCTTTTATTTGTGAAAGAGAACCTGGGAAGGGTGTGTGAAAATGAAGAGGTGCAGTGCACCCCACAGATTATTTTCTACTTGCTTGCTCTGCAAGTACAAATGACTAGGTCTCTTGTCTATAAACAAATGTTTTTTTAACTACAGACCTGAAAACAGGGTTTGTTTAGCATAATAATAGCAAGTCTAGCAGGATTGGAAGACACTTTCTCTTCTCTTGACAGGCATGTGTGGGCAGCTAATTCTTGCCACAGCTTATAGTGGAGAGTAACTCCCACGTTTAGTCCTATAAGAACTCTCAAAAGCACTGGAAGGGGACTGCACTCAGAATATGCAGTAGCAGTCCCTGGAATGTGCAATAGCAATCACATTTCAGAATGTGTCTCATTTGCACAACTTGCTTTTTGTGTTTTATCCTTTTGGTGCATCCATAACAACCTTAAAAGGCTAAACGAGCAGCATAGTCCAAAGGCTGATTCCTTAGGACTGTTCCTACCGTTGAACAAGGTGTAGATTCATTGTGTAATTGCTGTTTTGTGCACCTCTGAGAGACGATCCTGTTTTACAGTACGTAGGTCTGGCAGAGTTAACTCAGGCATTTAAGCCAAACTTGAACTGTGGTTCAAACAAGCCTTTAAACATAGGCTCAGCTTTAAGTTTATTAATCACTTTAAGACCTTAAATCTGAATTGTCTTTGTTGTGCAGAGGCTTTTCTTTTAATATGATGGTCTTATTCAGCTTATGTTTTAAACATGCCTTGAATTGTAGAAACAAAAAAAAAAAAACCATATTAATTTAATGGAAGCTCAACTTGAAATGGGCATAGGTGGATGATAGAAATACTGGGTAAAAGTACTGAAGCTAATTAGGAGGAAAGATCTTATCAATTATTTATTATTAGAAATGTTGTAACCAGCTTAATTAAAAAATGAAGTAGGTGTACTATGTTAACAAGAACCATTTTCATTGTTTAGAGAACATCAAGTGGATGACATGGGAAGGCAATGTAAAAGCATCAATTTTGAAGTGGAAGGTAATACCATTTTTTTCCTTGAAAACTGATGCTTTTTGATACTGTAATTTATTATCACTGTCTTACAAATAACATCTTTCTATTTTAAGGTCCACCTTTCATTTAGTAATGTTACAGGGGATTAGGCAACTCATCCTTAATACTGGGAAACAGAATGATGTGTCCTCAGGTTATGATACAGATGTGATTTAAATCAGTATTGAATCAAAATTATTGTCATCTAGTGATTGTTTTGTGACAGCATGCATGAGATAAGCTATTGATCAGTGCAGAACCTTCAAAATGTTCACTTTGTAAAACCTCATATCATATTTTTCAAATATCAGTGTTATGCAAGTCTATGGGTTGCAAAGAAATTTAAATTATAGGTAACATGTTGTTGCATTTCTCTCTTAAGAAACAACCTTTTTTTTTAAGTAAATTTGTCTAGCAGTATGCATGCAAAGTAGCAGAGGCTGTGCATTATACTCTACTAGCTACAGACATGAATTCATAAAAAGTATAAGATTAGAGCACATGAATGCATTGTACAGCCTCTTAATTCTGCAGTTTATTATTATGTTTCTACACAGAAAGTGAAGATGTGAGTCAGGACATTCAAGGAAACATTGACCATGTTGCTGTAGTAGCAATCAACTTTATTTTTTTTGTCATCTTGTTTGGTTTTGCAATTTTCGAAACGTAAGTCTACTCAATTTCTCGCACAGTAAGCATCTCGGTGTAAACGTGCCCGGTATAAAGTACTTTGGTGCAAAGGAATTGGTGGTTCAACTTTTGAACGTAACGTAAAACAGAATTCCTCATCATTTGTGGTGATTAAAGATGCTGTGTTCCTTGCACAACTACAGATGCATACTCCCAGTGTCCTAGTCAAATTGAATGCAGATCGTTGAATCCTATTGACCCAACTTCAGTCATTTCAACTAAATGCATTGTTCTTTTACTTCCTGTTAATAAACTTTTGGTATATCACTGCAGTGCACTTCTGCATAATTATTGCTTTCCACTCCAGTGGAGGTTTTCTTTCAGTGGTTATTTCAATAGTTTTTTGACATACAAAATAAAATATAGTTTTCAAAGTAATTTAGTGTTTCTTAGGATTTAAATCTCTAACTGTTGCTTTTATAATGTAGTTGTAGTAGTAATAGGATTTAATACGCGTTCAGAAGAATAAAATAAGCTATGCCTTTTAGTATGGGGGTGACTTGCTTCTAAATCTGAATGTATAAACTGACCATTTTTAAGAAATACGTTTTTTACAGGGGTTTAAATAATATGTGATGTTTCTTGTGACTTTATTTGATATGCCTTACACATCAAATGCTTTTTTATAAAACAATTTGAATTTATTCAAATTCTAGTTTGGTAAAAATGTAGCAATTTAGTCTACCCCTGTGCAAGATTAAATTGGATCAGAAAACAATCAATCATAGATTAATATATATGGCTGCCTACAATAGAATTTGGATGGGATATTCACTTGGGTGTTTCACTTCCTGGATCAGTAGAAGCTGCAAATGCTTTTGATACTGGAAGAATTGCAAAGCATCATTCTAAATGGAGAAACATCCAGTCATTCTTGTTACGTTGCTACAGTATAAAATCCTTTAGTGAGTTGGAATAAAGGTGGGAAAAAGAGTGAAGGATTTCAGCAAATAAACATCTGTTTACTCGCAAGGGCACTAGTGACTATAATGTACCTGGCAGAACTTTTATTACATGAGAAGAACTAAATCGGTGGTTCTCAACTCGTGGCCAATTAGCACGCTTCTGCGGTCTATGTGACACGCTGTTAAAACATGTTTTAAAACTGCAAGTGTGGCCCACTTTGGCAAATAGGTTGAGAACCTCTAAACTAGATTCGTAAATTCCATTAACACTAATGGTAGCTATGTTGAAAAATCTCTTACAGATGAAATAAAGCGTATACATGCGTAGGACCTGATTTTTTCCTCCTTATTACTCTGTATATAATGCTTTTGTAAATCCCGTGAAATAAAGTGTACAGAAATGTTCAATGGAGAATCAGGTCTATAGAATTTTTTTGAGAAAGTGATGGGTGATGAAATTAAGTTAAAAGCAGTGAGACATTCTAGGCTCTGGCAGGAAGGAAGAGTTTTTGTATGCCTGTATCTGATATGTTACAGAACAGCGGTTCTGGTACAGGTACCACCAGTAGTACACAGATAGCCTGTCAGTGGTACACGTTAGCAGATTTATTATAATTACTTTATGACAAAAAATTGCTGGTTGTATCGTTTTAAATTGGTGGTGCGCAACCTGTTAGAGTTTGGGAACTGCTGTTATGGAGCAAATATCTGGCGGCTACTGTTAAACAGTCTTTGTTCATTTCCCTTTACTTTGTTTGATTTTTCCTTTTTTACTACCTAGAATAGCTACTCCATTGACAATGGATATGTATTCCTGGCCCAGGAAAGAAGCTGTTTTTTATAATGGAATAATCCTTGGTGGAGTGGGCATTGAATCAATCATTGTCTTCATGGTGGTTAAAATAATTTCTAAAAAGTAAGTCATTGGAGTTGCTTAGGTTTTTTTGGTTTTGCTAAACTTACTGTAAAGAGATGTCACAAATGTCTAGAGAGCTTTCTATCAAGGCTATGCTACACTACACTAAGAGCACTTTTCCAGTGCAGGAATCCTAGTAATCTTAGTTTGAATACTCGACAGTTCTGCAACCTGAGAACCCAGTGCAGCAGTGGCTGCCATTTTTGCACCTTCTGCTTCTTCTCCCCCTTCCCTAAGGTAGGACCTGGAGCTACTGCCCTGCTCACCTCTCTCTTTCCTCCCCACATCCCTCCTTCCCTGCCCCTAGTTATGCTACTGAAAACAACCAAGGGAGGAAAAAAGTAGAAAACATAGCTATATCAGCAAAATTATGTTAAAAATAGGGGCAACGGTAAACATGGGTATCCTGGTCGGGTACCACTCCTCTCTGCACTTCTAACCCGTATAGTTTTGAGGTATGCCAACAGAAGTTTGTAAACATACTCTTCACGGACTGAATTAATTTCTATTGTACTCTAGCAAATAATTACATTTAAGAGGTTGTCTTCAGCCATATGAATGAGCTGTGAGAAATTAGGGTTTGTGCATAGTAAGTGATATTAGATGCTGCTTTAAAAATCTAATTGGTCACAATTAGTTACAGTTTTTTTATTCAACAGGACTGGTGAGCGTGCACTACTCCATGGAGGCCTAATAATTGTCTTGGTTGGATTCTTTATTTTATTACCTTGGGGGAAAAAATTACCAAATATCCAATGGCAAGGTATAACCATAATTAATGTAAAACTGCAGTCTAAGCCTTTCGTTAAAAACTTTTTAAAATGGTGTGCTTTGTTTTATTTCACAGATATAAAGAATAATTCCATTCCAAGAGCAACCTTCAGTGAAATTTTTACACCTTTGTGGAGTACGCAAACAATGCAGCTACCATTCAATCACACAGAAGAGCCAACGGGATGTCCTGTTGTGCAGTCCTGGTGCCTGTACACACCTGTGATCTATCTCTCACAGTATATCGCCTCTGATGTACTGATAGGATTGGGCTACCCAGCCTGTCATGTTATGTCCTATACTTTATACTCAAAAATTCTCGGACCAAAACCCCAGGTAAGCACAAGACCTAGGGACTTATTCAGATTTTGTTGTAGTTGCCACACATGTTTGACATAATCTGTTTTTAGATCAAAGCTGGTTTTTATTATAGGATGATTCTTCTCCTTGTTAGACATTTAAAAACAAATCATAAAAATGTATCTGCTAGGAGTAATCTTTGCAAAAGACAGAAATCAAATTGATTCATGTATTTCAAGATAAGAATAGACCATTGTGATCAGTTAGTCTACATTGTGTGACTTGAGCCAGAAATTCCTACATTTGGATCTTCCCATGGTGGTTCAGATCAAGTATAGTATTTTTAAGAATGGCATAAAACCTTAATTTAAAATTCTCAAGCAGTGGAGGATCCACCACACTTCTAAATACGGTGTTCCTATAGTTAATTATCCTCACTTGAAGAAAAACTGTGCACCATATCTTAGCCTGTTTTTGTTATGCCTTTTTGCCTGTACCTAAATACCCCATTACAGTTATAAATCTTACAATGGAGTGCTTACTTATAGACTGATCACATTACATCTTTATTTTTTTATTTTCCTTTTTAATTAACTAAATATAATCTTAGAAGTTTCATGGTAAGACAGGTTTTTCCACACCTCGAATCACGTTTTTTTTAAATGTAATGCAGTCCTGTTTTGTCAATATCCTTTTTTGGAGCATGGCTACAAAACGGGATATTGTGCCAGTACTCCTTTCACCAATGCTGGATACAGAATCTTTATTGCCTCCTTGTTTATTTCTTTATAGTTTTACTTATGCATCCAAAAAAATGCACAAGCCCTCTTAACCTCTTGCACTGGAAGCTTATGTTCAGCTAGTTATCCAGTATGTTCCCTAGTTGGCTTCAGAATTGCTGCTTTCTAGGATACAGGGTGTCATCTTGTAAATGTGACCTGCATCTTTTGTTTGTAGGTATGTTTTGACATTATCTGTTTCAGAGTCCAAGAACAGCACAGCACTGCTAAGGAGACTGATTTTTTTGTTGTTGTTGTTAAAAAGATATGTTCATGAAGAAAATACAACATATCCTAAGCATACGTGCCCATGAATTTAGTACGCACTATATTTTTGAAAGTCAGAATGAAGAAATGAAGATTTTTTTTCCAGAGTTAGGGCTGCATAGAGCAGGGACAGAATCTAACCTTCAGTTGACTCCACTCTCCTTTTCCTGCTTAATTAAAGCTAAAACCCTAGCTGCTTTTGAAGACTGGTTTCCATGGGTGGATATATGACTTGGAGAAGAGCTAAAGAGACTCCAGAGTTGTGAAATGAGAGCGAGCTCAGGAGCAGCTAGCAAATAACCCTTTAAACGTAACTTTGCTATCTTAATTAGTGGAACATCAAGACCATTTAAAAAGTATATACTGGCATTAACCTTTGTGGACTGAGGAATAGTGAGTCATTAGGTCAATTGATTCCCTCAGCTGTCTGAATAGTAATACAACAGCTGCTGTATTGTGGAACAGGAATGAAAGCAGCGTGCTTGTATCCCAAGCAAAATATCAACTTCCCTGCTTAATCTGCACACCCTAGTTTTGGGGTGCTGATTTTTTCTTTTTTAGAGCAAGGTTATACATTATGTGCGAGAGAGTATGGTAATTAAACTATTTATCTGGGTTTTTAAATGTCTTTTATCCTTAAAAAGATATATATATGTATACATGTCATGAATGCCAGCATGTAAACCAGAAAATAAACATGATAATCCTAAAGACAGAGGAGGGACAGAATATGAGGAGCCATTACAGAACTGTAAACCTGTTCCTAGAGCATTAAGTATAGTTTGTTCTGTGTTCCCCCAAGGTTGTGGGGAGGGAGGAGAGACTGTGCTGAAATGTGTGCGACTACAAATATGAGACTTCTTTGTTCGTGGTTAAACTAGCCACAAGAGCTACTAGAACTCTGAGTGTTATAGCACCAGTGAAAATTCCTAGTGTGTACAGTACTCTGGGGTTTTCAAAACTGAATGTTAGTTGTGGATGGTTCCATTTTGGGGCACTTGATTTGCTGTTTTCAAGGGGCTCAAATATTCAGAAAATGATGAGTCTTCTTTAAGGTGTCTCAGTTTAGGTGTAGTATGAGGGGGAAAACAAAACACTAGTTTGCTGAATCAAAAGTAAGCTTGTCTTCTACAAAGTAGTATTAAAATCTTTTGATACTTAAATAATGGTGAAAGAAAGCCTTGTGTTACTATTCTTTCACACAATAAATGTTTCTTTTATGGGGAGATTTGTTTTTTTAATGTTAATAGTTTTCTGCCATTATAGAGGAAAAGATTTGCATATTCTTCCAATCACATTTTATCATATGCTTTCAGTCCTGGAAACTTTTACCTATTAAAATATGATCAGGTTTTGAAAAGTGAGAACTTTAATGTGCTAATCCCAGGACTGACGTGTATCTTTGGATTGCTAGGTATGATAGCCAAGCTATGGTATGATAGCCCTTGTATGATAGCCAAGTTAGATAGATGTTAAGATCATCAATGTAGGGGTTGTCAAACAAAGGTACATAAGGAATAAAAATTAATGTGAATATGTCCAAGCCATCGAGATTTAAATTTAGTCTGATATTCAAGTACTTCTCTAATTTCTGCCATGATGCCAACAAAACAGTAGGGACTAACAATGATGAACCAAGTGATAAACTGAAATTGCTGTTTAACTTCAGTTTTCATGTGTTGCAATTTGAAATATATTGAACAGCAGATAGCGTAATGTGATGGAGCTGTAACTTTCCACAAGTACAGAAGCTGTATTGCAGCATCTCATGTCATCATCAACTTGTCTTCTAATTTTTACTTTAACTACTCGTGTTTTGGTTTTTTTAATCTAGTAATGGTGAAGAAAAGAGCAGTGACTTTTTCTGATAACTTCTCTTTTTCTGTAGTCGTTATGAATTTCTTGTGAGAACAATCAGCTGTTAAATTGCTGTTATTCCTAACCTCGGTACTTTGATCTATTTCAGGGTGTCTATATGGGCTGGCTAACTGCTTCTGGAAGTGGAGCACGCATACTTGGGCCAGTGTTTGTGAGCCAGATATACACTTACTTTGGACCACGTTGGGCATTCAGCTTGATTTGTGGAATAATTGTTCTCTCTCTCTTAGTTTTAGAAGTAGTATACAAAAGACTTATTGCATTTTCAGTCAGATATGGGAGAATGCAAGAGTAGAATTTTAGCTGTGTGTAAGGGAAAACCACAAAAATACTTATTTATTTTTAACAAGGGGTGCCTAAACCCAGAGCCTTGTTGGCAGCATACTAGAAAGTATAGAGCTGTATTTCCAGTCAAGCGATGAGATTTATGAAGAATGCATATTCTAACATGTACTGTTCCTTGATTAATGGAAGTTACACCTGCTGCCTCTAACACTAGGAGGAAGGATGGGGACATGATCTATCAAGAGTAATGCATATTAGAGTAATATAGGCTGGAAAGGTGTTACACCCATCTACAAAAGAACTATGAAGGCTATGCTTCAGGTACATCCTTTTTAAAAAGAAATAAATGTTGCCTTGATTCTATGAATCAGGATTATTCAAAATCTTTTTTGCAACTACAAAGTTGATTGAGCTTTCTGTGCATTCTTTAAGAAACCATCTACCTCTTAAGTGAATATTTTAATTTTTTCAGCAGGCTAATCAACAGCTAACAAGCAAAAATTTTCTAAGACACTCATCACTTGTGTAATAGATAATTTAAAACTAGAAAAATCGAGCTTATCTGAGACTTCAAAAGGAATATATTTACTAAGGTTAGAATTTGGAAAGGAGTTTAGAGGACAAGCTCTCAGTGCATTTTTATGGGATTTGGGTGTTTAACTTTCATTGATTCCTCAGTGGAAGAAAATACCAGCCTAGAATGAGTGCTGCTTGAAAACTAAGTATGTTTCCATGAATGATATGCCAGTTGATTTTTACATGAGCAACAGCAGTTGAAGTAGCAGGACCATTAACTACCAATCCCAAATGCCACCTTTACCTAATTGAACAGGAAAATGACAAAGCATCACTTTTACTAGTATTCTGATTCCTCTGTTATGAAGAGTAGCAGTCCTCTTTTGTAGAAGCAGGCACACTACCACTGAACCAGTAGTGCTAAAATTCCTCATTCATTCTGTATAATTAGAGTGCAAGGCACTTAATGTTGCAGATCATGTATTAAGTCCAAGCATGTACATGTAATTATAAATAATAGTAAGAATGTGGGGAAAAAACAGATTGAATTCACTAACAATTTTTTTTATAATTATAAGGTATGTGTAATGTTCGTATTGCAAAAACAAGAGAGAACATCCCTTTTCTGTTCGTATTTTTGAAGCAACTATAACCTAAAACCTGTAATTGCTCTTTAGCACATCTTTTAAGAATTGATCATATTTTTAATAGTACTAAACTCTGTATATTATGCAACCTGTAATTTAAGTATTTGTCGTTAAGTTCTCATATTTAAATGACTACTGAAGTAAAAAGTTAATTTTCAAATACTGACTAAAAGTAATATCAAGTCTTCTGTTTTTGCCCCTCAGGACTTTTAAGCAATAGAAGCAGAAGCACTTAATATATAGAGAAGCGATATTTGCTTTCATATTATAACATGCGGTCTTAACTTTACTTAAGCTAATATTAAAATATTTGTATTCAAATGATTGACGTAAAACAGTATTATAATGCAAATCTCCTTGTTGCTTAAAGCCAGAACACATTCTAGTAATCTTTGTGACCAAAGTTAGTTAAAGTCAAATAGTTTTCCAAAATGACTATTGATAATGGTACACATGAATTAATTTGTCTTCTAGAAGTTGGTTCTAGGGCTTGCATTATGGCTAGTAAGTTATATATTACATATGCTTCAGTGCTGTAAGTTGGCTCTTAAAAATGAAGGACACGTAAGTATATAATTTGCTGTGATGCAAACCCATGGAAGGGTCTTTTTACTAGAACAGTAGACAAATTAATTTTTTTTAAACATTTGCTTTCTAAAATGAAGGCTACTGCAGTATCATTTAACAGCTGTAGGAGACTGATCTAGTGTGTTAAAGAAAAAGCTAAAAGCAACCTGAGCTAGCCAAAGCAACTAAACCAGAAAATTAAGATAGCCAAGGGTCAAGTTGTTTAGATCTGAAAAGTGGTTAAAAATAAACAGATGGAGAGGGTCAGTACTAGCCTTCTTCCCTTTTCAGTCTGAATCAAGCACAGAGTAAATTTAAAAAAATGAAGAATAAAACAACGCTAAATTTAAGGATTAAGAAGTCTGAAAGCATGATGAGCCATAGTATGCATAGGGATTCTTATTCCCAAGTAAATTATTACTACCAAAAGGAGTGACATAGTGAACCAGTGAGGAAAGATATTGTTCTAGAATTACATTTTAAACCCCTTTGCCCTGATCTCAAAACATCAGATGCCATTCATTGATCATGAAAACCTTACAGGATGAAGAGCATAGGGGCAGTAATAGGATCTAGGAAATGCTGTTTCTTCTAGGGATAATTATTACAAATGTGTATATAAAAACCAGAGTATTCATGGCTTCAACTTCACTTGAAGTTAAAAAAATAGATAAAGTTTTACATAAATGGATACAAATATGAGACTCAAATCTCTCCTGGCTAACACGCTTGCAAAAATTTTCTAATCAGAAGGTTATAAAGTTTGTGTTTCTTCGTTCAGGTCAGCTATACAAACATTTAAAAGAGGATCAGGCCTTTTAGTTTCAAATACAGCTAGACTTATTGCTAGCCACATTGCTCCTTTGTGTATAGTTAGCTACAGAAAGTAGTGTGAATTAACTAGAGGTGCACTGATATAGATCAGCCCATATTATATTGGCACCGATAAAAAGGAAAATTGACATTATTAGCAGTCAGCTTTTTTGGCAGGTATGGCTAATGTTGTTGATGCCACATGCGCGCGCGTACCTGCAGCATGCATGCAGCCAGGAATGCAGTCCGGCAGCTTGAAGAGCAGCCTCCTGGCAGTAAGTTTGTGGGCGGCAGGGAGCAGATCAAAGGCCCCTACGATGAGGGAGGGAGTGGGGCTGGGGCAGGGGCAGGCACTGCCCAGGTAGGGCAGGGCATGGGACAGACCTGCAGGCAGCTTGTTTGAAGGGTGCAGAGGGGGACAGCTCCTGGCTGCTGCATGCACCACCAGGGAGGCATGCATGGTATGTGCTCCCAGGATCTGTGCGCAGGGTGAGGGCAGGCTGCTTGCTTGAGCCTGGGGGCTATGCCAGCCTCTTCCTGGCACGGAGGCTGCACTTGGGGCAGGCAGTAGTGAATTTTGGAGTGCCTGAACCCCTCCCCCCCAGGCTGCAGTTTGTCCCAAGCACAGCCCTGGTCTAACCCCCACGAGGAAGAGGCCGCAGCAAGCAGCCCACCTTTGCCCTGCACACACATCCAGGGGAGCACATGCCCCCCATGCTTCCCCACAGGGGCATGCACAATGGTGGGAGCCATCTGTCCCCCATGCCCTAACCCTACTCCCTTACCATCGGGGCCTCAATCTGTCCCCGACTCCCCCCTGCCAGATTTACTGGCTGGACACGGCTCTCCAAGCTGCCAGGCTGCATATCAGATCAGTATTGGCCAGTATGGTTGGTTAATAATCACCTGTTGGTATGGGCTAAAAAAAATCTTTATCAGTACAACCCTAGCATTAACTACACTGGCCTGGCAGATTATTTAAGCTCAGTGAATCTTCATTTTTAGAGACCAAATGAATTAGATATACATTTAGCACAGTCAGGTCAGTTAGTTTTCTCTATTTTCATAGATTTCATAGACATTAGGGCTGGAAGGGACCTCGGAAGATCATCGAGTCCAGCCCCCTGCCCAAAGGGCAGGAAGTCAGCTGGGGTCATAGGATCCCAGCAAGATGAGCATCCAGTTTCATCTTGAAGGTGTTCAATGAAGGCGCTTGAACCACCTCCGGTGGCAGGCTGTTCCAGACCTTGGGGGCTCGGACAGTAAAGAAATTCTTCCTTATGTCCAGCCTGAAACGATCTTGAAGTAGTTTGTGACCATTTAACCTCGTCATTCCTTGGGGCGCTCTGGTGAACAAACGTTCCCCCAGATACTGGTGGTCACCCCTGATAAACTTGTAGGTGGCCATCAGATCACCCCTGAGCCTGCGCTTTTTCAGGCTAAAGAGCCCCAGGGCTCTCAGCCTGTCATCGTAGGGTCTGCTTCCCTGACCTCTGGACTCTCTCAAGCTTCTCCACATCCTTTTTGAATTGTGGAGCCCAAAACTGGACACAGTACTCCAGCTGCGGCCTCACTAAGGCCGAGTACAGGGGGAGAATGACGTCCC